CAGAAAGTCAGACAGACAAACAAACAGAAAAAAAATTAGAATGATTTGCACTTATTTTCGAAAGACAACATATTTTTTTTTTCATTCTGATTGCATTATATAGTGTGTACTGGAAATAAACATGTTAAAAACTGCAATTTTTCATGTGGATTTTGTTGTCACTCGACCTGCCACCATATTAATTGGTCTTGAATAGGAGATTGCACAGAAGGATATCAAGGAATACAATGTAATAAAGGTATCTATAGTTAAGGGAAAAATAAAATGAAATAATTGCAGCATACTAAAAAGTATGCTTAAGACTTAAATAATGTATTTTTTCGCATGATAGTGTGTAATGTAAGATTTTATGGAGATAAGTGCAAAAAAAAGTGCAGTCGTTTTGCAAGTCATAACGTAAGTGCCAACAAGTGATTAGGAATTGTAACAATGGGTGCATTGGCGGATGGCAGGGTCTGAATTGTTCCCAAGGTCAATATCTCTGAAGAATTATTTAAAAATCAATGCCAGCGTTAGCTTAATTTAGAATCTTTAAGTTCGAATTACCCAGTTTTTAGAACAGAATTGTTGATCAGCTATAATTGTCTATCTTTGTATAGTTGCAGAGAGAAAATATGATAATTTCAAGGAACAATTTTAGGGCAGTCTTGCAGCGCCGTACGTCTCTCTAGCTATCTTTGTTGTTTTGGGTGCTGACGTGTATATTAACAGGTTGGTTTGATATTATTATATATCATTTTACGGCATTATTCAGATTATTTAATTAATATTTTCCAAGTGTACAAATTCATTCCTAGAAATATTTATTTTTGTTTTTGCTCTGAATTTCTTGTTTATTCACTTTTTTTCCTAAAGAAATCATAATGGAAACAGCGATTATATATAAGCATTGATATGAAGTACTTGCATATGATTCAATATCCTTTCTAAAAATATTGTTATTCAATATGGATAGCAAGATATTCTTCTTCAATCTGATTAGACAAGTGAATAAAAGTGACGAATGCTATCTTTTTTTGGTTTGAGTCTGCATAGAAGGAGGATCAAGGAAAGATATGAGCAGCAGAAATGTAAAGAAGATGATGACACTAAGGCAGAAACCTTTGATCTATCCGTTATTTCTGGACAATCAGACAAAGATGATAGCACCAGATATCATGAGCTTGGCGAATTGTCACTGCCATCAGAATATGAATGCATCAGAATATGACTTTAATGTGATACAAAACGTGCCTCAGTGTGCAGAATGCATATTGTTTTCATTTTTAAGAATTATTTAAATACAGTCAGCAAAAACGAATATCGGTATTGTATATTGCATTTAAGAAATACACCATGTACCACTTTACTATTTTTTCCAAATAATAAAATTAAACTTGAAGGTAAGGAAAAGGGGCCAAAAATCACAATTGAACCAATCTGTCTTTTTCTATGTCTGAGGTAGTTTTAATTGACTGCTTTGTTATCTTTGAAATAATGATATCCTCATATACACAGGTACATCTTCGTGCAATGATAATAGTTGGTAAAATGCATACATAAAGAAATGGTAGAACTTTTTCTTTATAATATAAATACGTCTTGCCGGCGCCTTTTATTACTTTATTTGCTTAGGGTCGCCAACACCCAGCATTACCGATTTTGAGCCATCTTTAAATTTGCAATAATGTCAAATAGTGGAAAGTTTCAAGTACTTTTTCTTAGCTTTGTATCTTTTTGATTTTTTTCACCTTGTCTTTTCAAAATATAATAGTGTTGAACTCAATTAAAAGAAATCAAAGAATGTTTATAGATGTAATAATAACCATTATTCTATAAGCAGTTTTTAACGACACCCCGGAAGGCAGAAGACACAATCATTTATGTTTTCTTTATGTATTTTAATATTTTGCGTCATAAATATTGTAATTCAACATATCCAACGATTGTAAAATTGTAACTTGATTAAAAATCACATATATTTGTGTGCGTGTTACATTTTCTCGATTGTTTTTATAAATGAATAGGTCACTGTTAAAAAAAATCCCTCGACATGCCCCAAGAAACCAATTGACATTTTCCACATTCACATCAGCTGCAACTTAAAATTAAATTTATACAACACTATATCATTAAAGATCAATGAACACTTTGATGCTATTGGTGAAAAGTCGAAAGGTTTTGTTTGTCAGATTTTATCTTCTTGTTGAATGGCGCATTTCTTCCCTGAAAAAAGGGGTGGGGGGGGGGGGTAGCATTGTATGAGAAGTGATCAGAAAACTGCATCTCGGGTTCGTTGTGATCTTTCATTACTTTGCCTTGTTCTGCTAAATTTTGTTTTTCTCCAACTCTCTTTTGATAAAATGATGTATACAGCTTTTTATTCCCTTACGGGCAGATGGTATGAATGCACTCAGTATGTACTTATACACGCCGTATCCACGGTAGTCGCATGAAAGTTCTACAAAAGCATGAAAATTTTCCTTTGGAGAGTGCATGTAGCATGCATGATCCTAGTATGGATGCATATGCAATTTACAGTGTTTTAACAGATATCTTGTGCGTAGAGTCATTCGTTTTATTTGCAATGCAGAGGCTTTTGTTAACGCAGTCCACCCATTGTGCAAGCTGTAAATTCCAAGTGATGCACAAAAGCTAACGTGCTTCATGAAATATGCAGGAGTAAAGCGTCGTAGTTCAAAAACTCATGAATCTTCAGAAATTAAATTCATTTCTGAAAAATATTTTTTTTTAATTTCTCCCTCAAAAACTTATACCGGTTCATTTTGCAAGTTATTAACAAAATAACAGAATACCATTTTCACCTTTCTGCTTCTTTATTTTTTTTTTTACTCTACGAGAGGTTATTAAAAGTTCGTGGACTGGGCAATAAAATTATTACTATGTATTATGTGCTTTCAAATTTTATATGGAACATAAAACAACAAAAAAATGAAGAAATGTCAAAAATGTCAGCCTGATACGTTCATTATTTGCCAAAATATTATTGAATAAAAACGACATTATATGATCATCCGGCGCTGTTGTCGTTTATTTTCATGACGTTCGATAACGATACTGTTTTTTCAATGTCCGCTTCTTCTACCTCGTACACATTTTTGATGAGATTCCCTGGAGTTGCGTAAGGACTTAAACCCGCCTTGTTTATATGATTTTACTATGTCATGAACAGCGGCTTTCAGTGAATATAATATTCCGGATGTATTTATACATTGGGAGAGATCCTCGCTTGATTGTGCCAGCATATTTTGCTTTTGGGAGTTCAATATCTACAGTACATGATCAAGGCCATTTTTTGACCTGATTGATTTTTCACATCTTGACTTCATATCGATGTTAACTGTGCATCCCTTTCTCTCTGAATCTATTTTGACATTAAAAGACAAGTGCTCTGGATGCATATTAATTAATTCTATGTAGCCAGTTTAAATTAACATTGTTGAGATCTATACAATTTTTTTTTCAGGGGCAAAACTTTATAGAATGTTGGAAAAGGAAACCCCTCCCCCTTTTGACGTCATTTCAAGGCCTCATTTGTTTGGACATTCCATGTATATTTTACGATAAAATTTTATAGAACTTCAAAAATGAAGTGAAAATTTCATATCTTATGCAACAATTGTGTCCCTACACATACCTGAATTTTTGGATTTTTGAACGTTAAATGATCATATCATATCGAACGATTTTTTCTCAGTTACACATAGGTCTCGAAAACGTCGTGTTCGAGGTTGCGCTACCTGGACAGAGCACTGCTTATCAAAACATTACTAATTAATCAAAAAATAAAATATATGATTCATGGTTTATTCTTTAGATAGAAAAGAGGATGCTTACTAGATATTTTGAAATTCATTTATGTGCCTTAATCGGTATTAATTTTATTGGGCTAGTCCACGAACATTTTGATAATCCCACGTACATTTGATATTTTACATATTTGTTTGCATGGTTTAAGAACATTTCAAAATGAGAAGCCTATGTTACCAATTGTTATATGTGACTTAAATCATGCCAAATGCCCCAGTGTGTATTTTATTTTTGGAGTTCTTTGATATTAAATAGAAAATATGTTTGCATGATAATGATAACTATATATCATGATTATACACCCTATATGCTTCCAGGTCAGGAATGGTAAAAAAAAATGTCAGATGTACTGAATGAAGTAAAGAAATAGTTTCAAATACTTACATGTTCTATATCAAAAAACAGAAGATCTCTGTACCAGAACGAACATAATGATACTCTATCGATGTAAGGGGACAATTCTACAATAAAAAATGAAGCTTTTTAATTTTTGATTAATATTCTTTGTAAAACATCTCCATCTAAAGAATTTTTATTTAAAAGAAAAACTATACACATCTCTAAAAATACACAGATTGAAATTTCTGGTCCCTATATTGTGTATCCTCACATTTAGCTCCATTGTTACATTTAAGTCACACCTGAAATACAATACAAAAATGCATCGGTCCTAATGTAGCTCAACCACTTTATCGATCTGTGAGGGGATTTATCGCAAGTCTTCATATTGGGATGGTTTTATTACTTCAACAAATGCCTGATATCTGTTATCGTCATTTTGGATTTTCGCACGTCTGTTATCATTGTCCTTATTATTATTTGTATTTTTCATAGATTATTTAAAGGATTATGACTATTTTTTCGACCTTTATAAATGAAACTAAGAAGCCCTTTTGTGAAATGATAATATCTTATCAATTCTTTCGAAGAATGAGTTAACAGTAAAATGCACTTCATCTCATGCTTCAATTTTGAATCTAATGTGCCTCATAGAAATATTATAATCTACAAAAAAGAGAGAAAAAAAACATTGTTCGTCATGATAATTCTGATTTTCCTTTTATTTTCAGAAAAGGTCTCTCTTTATTTTGTTAAATACAATGGGACTTGAAAAACTACTCTTTAATATGCGTTTAATGTGCAATTTTTACCCCCCATTTCTGTTGTTTTATATGCTATGTTTCAGAGAAATTATCAACTTTCACAGTTACGTTGTACGGTATTTGCATCGCTTTAAGGAATGGTCTTAATAATGGTTAATATAAATCACACATGATAACACGAGATAAGACAGACCGTACAATGTATGTTGTTGTTTGAACATGTAGTTATGCTATTAATAGGAAAAGTAAATAACACTTAAACGTCTATTCGTAGCATTCACGATAACAAGCGGGGAAATCCATGTAAACGGAAACTTGGAATTGATCAGTGTTAACATAGGTAGGTGTTTTTTATTCATAAAAAGAATAGAATATGCATTTTATTTCTTTGTACTTATGGAAACTTTTAAATTTCTTTCTCTTGAACCATTGAAGCAGTTCTATTTTAAGGAAAGAAGTTCATGCAATAGAAAACGCAAGTCTTTCCCATTCTGTATCAGGTTTTGTGAAAGGAAAAGATAGGGTAACAGTCGAATTTTGCTCCTTATTTGATGTAAAAAATCAAAACACTGGTAAAATTTTAATAGTTTGTAGTTAAGAAGCTAAAATGATGCTTACTTAAAACTGGCACTAATTTTTATTCAAAGCTTACATGGAAGCCACTAGAGGGTGCAGAAAGAGGGCATTTTTCAGAATTTCCTCAAATCTGGTGGAATTTCATCATTTTTAGAAAACATAGAGCACAAGTTTGCCTATCTGAGATTTAAACACATAAACTGCATCTGATATTATTGTATAAAATATATATATTTTGTAGATAGGCCCGGCAAGTGTTTGCTCTATATTTTCCGAAAGAAAATATGCTATAAAATTGATGAAAATTTGCATAAAAATGAAAAATGTCGAAAATTGACGTATTTCCTGACCTCACTGTGACCCTTGTATATTCTAGATCTTAAAACCAATATTCATTTTGTGGCAGTGGTGACAACATATGTTTATGGATAAACTGTTGGATCATTCTGAAAGACACCCAAAATCGGGGGCCAAATACTGGTCATATCCTATCTTGTTCTTTCAAATTGATTGTTTCTACAGTTTACAAATAAAAATGAAATGTAACGCTGTTTTAAAAATGGTTTAGGTAAACATCTGTAATGCATGATGTTTCTTGTTTCATTGTTTTAAATTTTGTTTCAATATGAAGTTACGCTATTTAAAGGAAAAGTAAAAACACTGAAACGTCTTAGCATACACGATAACAAGCGGGGAAAATTACGTAAACGGAAACTTGGAATTGATCATTATTAACATAGGTAGTTTTTTTATTCATAAAACAATAAAATATAGATTTTCTATTACCTGTATTCCATGATGGGTACTTTATTAATTTCTTTGCATTAAACAACGAAAGATCCATATTAATAAGTGAATTGCATGCAACAGAAATCACAAGTCCTTTCCATTCTGTCACAGGTTTTTCTAAATTTCAGATTGATTGTTTCTACAGTTTAAAAATAAAATAATTATTACTTTTGATAAAAGTAATTCATTGTCTTGATCAATCTTCTACAAATAATTGATTGTATGTTGTATAACGTCCCTCTCGAGAATTTTTCTCTTATATTACGAGGCAACACTTGCTGGCGGAGAGCTATATATTTTGATTTTACGTTATTTCCTGATCATCACAAGGAACACACGGCGGGTGTGACCGGTCGGCAGGGGATGCTCACTCCTGCATGGCACCTGATCCCACATCCGATGGTTCGGGGGTACGTGTTTGCTCTGCTCTTATTTTGCATTGTTTTATAAACTTTGAGATCGAATACTGTTCGTACCTCCATATCCTTCTGACCTATACTCGGCACACATGGCCATTGAGCATTGATGGATCTTTTTCGTGCAAGCATATACTGCGACACGGGACTTAACATGGCCCTATGAATGTTCCCATTTAGAGGAAATTAATTCAAACTGTCCTATAAAAATTAAAAACTAAGTATTTATGCAAAGTCTGTTTAAGAGGAGGAGGGGGGGGGTTTACTAAACATTCTTTTCTTTTCATAAAAGAAATCAAAAATAGCAACTTACCCTGTCGATAATTCAGAAATAAGTTCCATCTTTAGGCAATGGGTATTGGCATTGAATAATTATGTTTCAGTGGTATATTTTAGTTCAAAATGGGAAGAATATTTTGAAATAAATCTCATTATGGTCTTTCTGAAAAATTACTATTTTCCTCAAAGTAGATTCAGTTACTTAATACATACACACGTTTTTCTTTCATGTTAATAATCTAGAAACCTTCTGTTTTAGGTGCATCTAAACAATTTATGTGAAGAAAACATTTTAAATTAGTGAAGCCTTTCTCAAATAGTAAGTATATTCTTTTAAAAAAATGATGCCTGGTTTTAATCGGTTGTTGGAAATCTAGTGCACACTTTCACTTTCACTGTATCTCCCCACTGATGTTATGGAGGTTCACGTTTTTTGCTGCCTCTCTTTGTAATTTCTAATTATTTTTTAGCTCGACTACGGTTCGGTATCTCCACACATTTCATACACAAAGTTTGAAATGTGAAGTAAATTACATTTGTACACAGGTTGACGGTCATGTCTACTTTCCAAATCTTTCTTTACCTTCTGTATCCTATCGTATTTATTTAACACAATAGTCATTGTCTTACCAAAAAATTTTAATGCCCCTTCCAAGAATTCTTCACACATGGAGACGCTAGCATTTTCCGGTGGAGAGTGCAAATTGTGTTCTATTTGAAGCACTTAGAGGTATTTGTTGGAAGACTATTTTCATTGGTATTAGGTATATCTAAAAAAAAATTTAAAGTCTTAAATTGCACCATTCCAAAAACAAGCATTTTGCAGAAATTTCGAAGTTACAATCACTTGCTTTAACCTACATATTGGTCAATTTCTAAAACTCTCTATTTATTCATTTTTGAAATACATTTTGTATATTTATAGATTAAAAGAGTAGTTTTCTTAATGCAAAGCTCTCATATCTATCAAAAATCTATGAAAAATTGAGTTTCCGCTTCTAATAATTGTTTTTCTGTAATTTAAAGAAAATTGTCTTTTTCCGCAGTATTGAACTATGGACAATTAGAATGGTCAAGGTAATTTGGTTATACAATAGTATTATATTCATCTACCATAGCAAATCGACCTTTAAACCAGAATATATTATAAATTGATTCCCAATTCTTATTTCGTGGATAGATCACCGCAATAAAGAATACAGATAAGCTCAATAAATTAAACCTTCACCTAGCATATTATTTTTTCCGCAGTATTGAACTATGGACAATTAGAATGGTCAAGGTAATTTGGTTAGACAATAGTATTATATTCATCTACCATAGCAAATCGACCTTTAAACCAGAATATATTATAAATTGATTCCCAATTCTTATTTCGTGGATAGATCACCGCGATAAAGAATACAGATAAGCTCAATAAATTAAACCTTCACCTAGCATATTATTTTTATGGCAAGTATACGTTTTTCTTCCGTAGACCCGAAATAAATTTCAAATCAACAAATATATTAAAAAGGTTGCACATTCATATTATACAATACGGAATTTGTAAAAGTATTATGACTTTTTTTCAGTGGAATAAGAAAAGTTGGACAAAAGGATAAGTATCCTTCAAATTGTCGAAAAATGGCTGTTTCCATGTTTTGTTTTCAGAAAACCAAAATATGATTGATTGATTGTCTTTTGTTAAATGTCTCTCTCTAGATTTGTTCACTCATATGGAGACACCACCACTTGCAGTTTGAAAGCTACAAATTTTTATTTTATATTCGGAACCCAGGGCTATAAAGCAGGGAGTGATCTTTATCGTGCCAGGGCCTAGTGCGACACGAGACTTTTATGCGGTCTCATCCGAGGGACCAGTCTCCACGTCGTATAGTAGGGTACCAAAATATGTGTTGAATCAAAAAAGTAATATATATGTAAAATCTGAGGTGGTGATAAACACTATGTATATGAAACAAAGATTCTGTATAGAAATGTTCATTTTTACTTTCAAGCGAATGATATGAAAATATAAATAATTTTTCTCTTTTATTAGAGGGATCTGGAGGTCCAGAAACCGTTCCAAAAATAGCCACACACGGACCACGACCACCAGCTGGGCATCCTGGAAGTGGTCCAATTAAGTCCCCTCCACGACCACCACCACCACCTCCGCCTAAGGGACCATGTTTGACAAAATAACTTGTTTTTACGAAAATGATGTTAATCGATTTCCACGGTATTTGGGAAAATGGAAAACGTCGAATATTTACGTTTTAATAAACATTTAAATTAAATCGTAGGATGAATGTTACTTTTTCACTCTCAATATATATTTTTGATTGTCTAAAGCGTATTAAATAAAGTAATGAATAAATCAACTGCAATGCATTTTCTTTTTGTTTCTAAAGCATAAATACATTATTTCCCCTCACAAAATTTTATTTTCGGTTTTATCCTAAATTTTCTTTAGTGTCGAAAGATTCATATACTATGATAAAGTTTAAAGAAAATAAGAAGCGTTGATTGACGGCGTTGATTGATAAAAGCTTGGTTTTATTTTCAATCGAGTGGAGATGTCTATTATTAGGTCTTTCTACCTTTCTGTGGAAAGACCTCTTGAAATTCTTGTTTATTTTTATATTACAATGTATTTCTCAGCTAAACTTTTGAGACCGTACAACTAATCGAAAAACATTTTAGTTCATGATACTGGATATATAAAGTTATTTCGAAAAACGACCCACTATGTTTGGATTTTGACGCCTTACGCAGTTATTGTCCCTTTCACCGTAAAGCTTGTAATCGCTACTCCTCCGAAACCGTAAACGGTAGAGGTACAGAACATTCACCAATGTCCTCAACTAATTTAGGAGACTTTTCAATCTATTCATTGCGAAAGTTTTCTTAGAGCCCTTCCATGAATTACTACCCCTGTAAGTTTATAAATTTTACAAAAAATTAACAATTTTCAAAACGAGAAGTCGTAGAGACATGAAATCAACTGCAAAAGATTAAAATACCTTTTACTAGGGATGGCAATTCGTAACCGGTTAATCGATTAATCGGTCGGAGTGATGGCAATCGGTTACAAAATCCGCAATCGGTAAGTCGGAAAAAATTAAATTTATATAAATTTGAACGTAGTTTCCTTAAAATTCCTTCTTCTCCTTTTTTTAGAAAGGAAACCGCTGCGTAGGTGTTTATTTAGTGTTTATACACATCTATAATTAAGAATATTTGGAGGTAATTATAGCTATCCAGATTGAGATCGCAGGGGTAATTGGTCAATTCTTAAAGAGTTAATTATTTACTGTTATAGCAATTTAACAATCATGCCGTTATTCAGATAGTCCTGTGATTTTTTAATGATATTACAAACATCACCGTTAAGCACTTTTAGTTATGGTATGTCTTTATTTTGCCGTTATCTATTAAATCAAATTATTAGAGAGAACGCAGTAAACTGTAAATAAAGCGAGAGTTCTAATACAGTTTTGATTATAATGACAATGCAGAATTAGTTTCTTTGACGTCTGCGTTGAAAAATTATCCCTGTCTGATTTCTAAAGCAAGATTCATGGTTTTCTACATTTTTTTTTCTATTGAAAATGAAATAAAATATATACTCCGATGTACACAAAATTCCCCGATCAAATAATATACAGAATGTAACTTCTAATGTCTCCATTTAGCCTTCTTGTGTAAATGAAAAGAAAATTTCAAAATGTATATCTTGATACGACTAACCGGATAATCGGTCGGAACGTTTTGCGGTTAATCGATTAACAATTCTGCAATCGATTGCCATCCCTACCTTTTACCTTTAAATTTATATCAAGGTCAAAGGTCAAGGTCATACCAAATATGAGAAATTTTATGTCCTTTAACATCTACTATCTATGTGTTGACTTTCACATGTACTCTTAAAACTCTTTCAAAGATTTCATTCTTGTCCCCTAAGATTGACCATTTTAAAAGTAATTGCCCCTTGCGCTAAAAACATTGTTATCGCTACTGATTCAAAACCGTAAACCGTAGAAACACGAAACCTTCACTAATGTCTTCAGGGTCCTTAGGCACAATTTCAATCTATTCAGTGCGAAAGGATCTGATGACCCCTTATAAGAATTATCGCCCTTTTACAACTTTGCACTTCCTATTAAGCCTCATAACTCTAAAAGTATAAATAGTAGAGGCTTGGGGTCAATTGCGTTGTAGCCCTTGACCTTTGACCTTATACGTTTTCTTAAGTTCAAAGATCAAGGTCCTTTCATTTTTTTTTTTTTTTTAATTTTTCTATTCTTTAAGAGAATTTTGGTTTTATATTTGTGGAATTTAATTTAAAGGAGTCGAATATAAAACAAAGTTGAAATTCAAAGAAGGTGGACGGCTGTTCTCTGCGACTGTATTGAATAAAAATGCATTCTCTGTTTTCATAAATACAGCCTGCATTAAAAAAAATAATTACAAAGAACACACAATGACACATTTAATATTCACTGTGAAACACTTTTAACACACTTACTTTTACAATTAAATCTACGGATACGGACCTTGCAAACGTTTCAAACCTGGTCATTCACCAATATATCCTTCTTTACAATGTCCAGTCACGTGGTTACAATCACGTGATGACTTGCAAAAAAGACTGCACGTCTGTCCACAATTACATGTATATCCACGATAGCCTTTATTAAAAACGGTTTAAAATGAGTAAATGAAAGAAAAATATCATGGAAAAAAGAAATCAGGATAGAACTGACAAATTAAAAGATATCGTTTTGTATGGAACAAAAAGTAAATGCATCTAGTCAGTTTAAAAAAAATGATTTAGTTCTTTTTTAAATGCACATATATGCATTGCAAGTCATTTTTCTTTAAAAGGTGAAATTTTTTTTTACAAAAATGTGCGGTTAACCTATACAGTAAAACTACTTTAGTACGAACAAGGATATAGCGAATTTATGGATATAGCGAAGTCATTTTGGATCCCCAGCTATATAAATTTAATGTATTTCTTATACGGTTACAACGAATTACGGATATAGCGAAGTGATTTCATAGATCTCAGCGACTTCGTTATAACCGAGTTTTACTGTATATATAATTTTTTTGATACCCTTCCTGACTAAACGTAAATAGATGCAGTTTTTACCATATCTATTTTCTGTGCAATGTATTTCTAGAAAAAAAACAATATTAGTTTATGAAAACAATCTAAATATGGAAATTTTACATGAAGTAAAATAGCGTCCTTAGTTTTAGTAGATATTCTTTTAATTGATGAATTTTTGAACATTCAAAATAGGAGAAGAGCAAACATCAGAGGTGAGATCAGGTGCCATGGAGGAGTAAGCATCTCCTGGCGACAGGTCATACCCGCCATGTGCTCCTTGCCAGTTTTGGGGATATGAATTGAAAATAAAATCATATCATATTGGACAAAACGGTGGACCCCAAAATTTGTTCTACCTTGATCGCACCGAGATTCCTCCAAACCTGGTTGACATCCTCCCTCTTATTCTCCTGTTGTTCTGTGACATTGATAATGTACGCCACAGTATTTATTACAATTCTGCTCACAGTTTATTCCAAATGTATCATCAGAACAGCTTATCAAACGTTTTAGTGTATTTATGGAGTACTCATTTATTTTTGTACAGATTATAGTTCACTTACATCATAGAATGATAACTCTTTAAGTATTAAAATATTGGAATGGTGATTTAAAAAAAAAGATGAAAAGTATCTCAAAAGAAATTACTAGTGATACAGAGCTCTCCCATAAACCATAAATATAAATGTTTTTATTTCCGAAAATGTGTTGATCTTTAATCTTGTAATAGTAGGATGTAGAGATAACGAAACAATATTCAGTCTCAAATTCCATAAAACAATACAAAATAAGAGCAGAACTAAAACGGACCTCCGAAACATCAGAGGAGGGGTCAGGTGCCATGAAAGATTAATATGAATATGAGGAGCATTGTCTTCGTATTTTTTTTTAATGAATCTCGTACATTCATCTTGCTTATACATAACGAGTTTGTTTCTGTCAGTGGAACTCCATTTCCCTTAAACACATTTTAAAAATCTCCCTCATTTAATCAAAATATGTCTTCCTATTACATGTGCAACAATTTAAAAGAACTACTGATCAGAGAGAAAAACAATTCATCAATAAGAATGGAGGAAGTGACTTTTCTCTTTTTCACATCAAATGATTAGTTTTAAAGATATTTTTACAATAAAGAAAATTGCTGAATAATACAACTTGTTTCTAAATTGTATATCTTCCTGATCGTTATATTGTAAACATGCATTTGAGAAGAAAAGGCAATCGAAAAAACTAACGTGTTTTTGTATATTTGCATCTAGCTAGGATCAACATTATTTCTCGTATCACACTTCATGAATGGAACAAAATCAATAGATACAGCAGCAATGAAATAACACAGTAGACTCTGTTAAGAAAACATAATCATTTCCTGTGTTGACGTTAGGATTCACAATCTCTGTTTGATGATATAAAATCTTACTTTTGGGGACGGGGTATCTTTACTGCTGTCACAGATTGCTGCTGCTACATGTACTATACAGTTGCTAAGTAGTCCAGTCGTGGGTATTTACCATACTAAAAGTGCTAACATGGATATTTTAATTAATTACTTTTTATGACAAATACAATGGAAAATGTTCTTACATGTCCTCTGTGACCATTTGATCCTGGGGCATATTGTAGAATTTTTTTTTCTCTTTTTTTATTACTGGTATTGACATTATTTTGACTTACAATAACCATTTGTATACAGCATGTTAACGTCACATTTTTTTCTGTTATTTTTTTTTTCAATGATAAATATCATATCAAGATATGCATTACTTCAGTTTTCTAGGATTAATAATCTTTTTAAAAATCGCAGAGTATATTTGTTCGCATAACCCGTCAATAGGAAAATCTATAATATTCTTCCCAAATATAAAAGGTCATGATATAAAACGTAAGTAAAAGTTATATTATATAATTTTCGATCACAGTAGCTTCTTTTCCCTGTTGTTGTAATTTTAGCAGCTAATGTGTTATCTTTTTACAGCGTCGATCACCATACAGCTGATGTACTGTTCCTTAATACTCTATATCACCCTTATTAGAAAAACACCGACATCTTACGAACGAACGTAACTCGCCCTAACTTCCCGTATCTCTATAGTTTTCTTGGGACCAGTGATTGCACCCATACAAAGTTCAAAATCGGAAGAAATAAGTATATGTGTAAAATAGAACGGATAGTGTTTTAACAACTTTGTAATTGAAAATCGCTCATGTCAAATTTATTGTAATCATTTACAATGTTTTAAAAAGCGAACAAATAAAAGAAAATACACCATAATACTTTAGACAGATTAGGAAACACGTTTGTCATGCGTCAGTGATTAAACGTTTACAAACTACTCGTAGTGTGTGCCTTATTCATATGGGGAAAGCTTAAAAAATAAATCCGTGCAATCAAGTAAATAGGTAGTGCGCTTTATAAAGTGTCTTGCATTGAGATCTAGAGAGAGAGAGAGAGAGATATTCTTTTTTTAATTTATTAAAATATCACCCCAAAGACATAAACGAGCATTCATGGTAGACAGTATCTTCTTAGATGATGTATTAAATGGCGATCTTAATTAAATTATCTTGGGCCGCTTTTATTTTATATATGCAACAGGCATGAAGCATGCAATTTCAGTTTGGGGGGGGGCACAACCAAACTTTTTTAATTTAAAGACTCAACAATTCCTTAGGAAGCCAAAATGAAATTTTTTTTTTATTGAGGGGGCACAAGTATACAGTAGCTAAGTTTTCTATAATATTACATTGTTTATTTATCGACTTCATTGGGGGGGGGGGGGGGGGGGCGGAAATCCCCAACCCCTCAACCCCGTTCCTACATGTATAAACGAACGTGTGTATATGATGTGTATCTTTTTATATATGTGGATTATAAAAAAAGCTGAAAATATGTATTTATATAGGGTTGTGCATTTTTCTTAGTAAAGTTCTTTTCTTTGTCTTAAAGTTATGCTCCAGTATGTCATTGTTTGTTAACCATGTATTAATCGTCAAAATATAAAATTGGAATATATACTTTATACTTTTGACCACACACAGAGTTATTTTGACCGACCCCCCCCCCTCCCGAAAGTTGGGGATATTAATTTCAGTCTGCCCGTTCGTTTTATAATTCTGTCTGTCTGTTACACTTTTGTTTCGAGCAATATCTCGAAAAGCCTTTGAGCTTTTACAGTCAAATTGAAAAATATCTTTTAAGGTACATGTTTGTAAGAAGACGCTTTATCAACCGACAAATTACGAACGGGCATCCCCCTGGATTTATGATATGGCTATAATACCTGTGTATTAAAGCCATAAGAATTTTATTTTTCGCAGCATATGGCATTTTGAACAAGAATTTCTTTAAAGTTTTTGGGTTTTTGCAAATTGATTTTAGACCATAACTCCTTATTGTCCCGACCGCCCTTCGAAAAGTACCTCCCCCCCCCCTTCGACCCCTACTAGATCCGCACATACTATTATTTTTTATTACATGCCACAGAATGACATTTTTTAAAATTTTCCTTTCATTTCCCTTCTCGAACCCCTTTGCTCGTTTAAATGTCCAATGAAATGTATTGTAGCGTCACGGTAGCCACTACAACAAGACGTGGATTTGAGGTATCTTGTGGGGATTTTATCTATCGAAATCCCAATAAAATTGAAGAATTCAATAATTCAACCATGAATACAATAGAGTACAATGACTGATCCCCGTTTTTGGTTACGTTCGTTCGTAAGATGTCGGTGTTTTTCTATTTTGTGATCATACATGTTAGTTTTTTAATTCATTTCGTGCACCGTCCACTCATGTACTTTCAAATAAACTTTTAATTCTAAAACGAAAAATAAATCTTATAAAACTCAGTTAATTGTGTATTCATATTCTATTGGGTAATACTAGTCTAAATATCAACTGAATCGAACTGATAGTAAAATGAAGCATTTCCCGCAATAGTAATCCTTCGTTTAATAGCGTAAAAAAAAACGTTCTTGGATAGAATGAATAAAATGTTTATCGCATTTTTGAACAGTACAGTACTTTGCATTCTCTATTATTTCAAGTATACAAAAACTTACTTTAATTATTAATCTGTTTCACTATGAGCCAACATGTGTTATTTTGACTAACAATATCCTTGCGTTTATTTGGTGTTGACGTCATATTATTTTTCGATTTATTTTTCTTTCTTTTTTCGATTATGAATATCATATCAAAATATATATTACTTCAATATTCTACGATTTAACAATCTTTAAAAAATCTCAGAGAATATATATAAATTGTAAATTCTATGAAAATAATATTTTAACTAAATATAAACGTTCTTGTCTTTTTTTACAGCACTGATCACCATACAGTTGATCTACTGTGTCTGATCTTGTGTGTGTGTGTGTGTGTGTTTTATCATCCATATCTTTGGCCATATATGTGAGTTTTCACTCTTCTACTTTTAAATCAACTATATTTCCTTACAACGTGCTTTATAAAATTCAGGAAATTATGCAATCATATTCTATCGTGTAACACTGGTTTCAACCTTCAGTTATTGCAAAATAAAGCAATTTATTAATACATGTATAAGGCAAAAACGGCTTCTCCATTTTTTTTTTGTTCCACGTTTAGTTAATATGACTGAATAACATGTACACTATAAAACAATTAATAATGTAACATTTTTTCCTCGATATTGTTACTAGCCTACATTCATTGATATACTATGATTTTGATATCAAAGGAACATGTTTGTATCTTCAATATCTTTATTTGACTCAAAATATTAATATCAATTTTATACTATTTTGAGTTACTTAAAAAATTGTAATGTTTTTATTTGAAGGATTAAAAAAAGTTTATTTCCTATCCATTATATAATCCATATTTAATGCCAAGTGTTACTTTTAATTCAGTATTTTTTTTTTCACTATTGCGGGTGAGTTTAGTCTTCAATATTAAACCTTTATTTCAAAGTTGGATCATAAGAAGTCTTCATAACAGGAAAGAATGAAACTTTATGCTTTTATTTTCTTTTCTTTCTTGTTATTACTGAAGATATATGACAGTGTACCTGAAGGTTAGATGATACAAACAAAAATGGATGCGTGGATTGAATTTTTGTTTGAACATAATTTTATTGCAAATGATGCAAATAATGAATATAAAGAAAATGGAAAACTTTTGTGATGTTCAATATTCTTCCCTTTTGAAACTACCCTTATATTTCCATACAATATATTTCTTTTTTACTTTTAATTCCATTTATGTGCACCTTGAAAACAAAATTCAAAAGTAAGCTGTGAAACTTATTCATTTTATATAGCAAAACTTGACCTTTATTTCTAACATTATGGACCAGTTTGTATCATCTGACTTTGAGTACAGTATTATCTAAGCAACCGGTACTTGCCAGTAAAAGTGTTGAAGGTCTGATGCTTCAGGAGTTTTCGATCTATGTATCGTACCATTATGTTTCCTCATCAGTGTTGCAACTGACATATCCTGTATAGAATAAACAAAGCTACATATTGTTTGATTTTTTCAACGTTTATGCATATTCATAAGTTTATTATGAAAAGAACTTATCAGTTCCTTATAAAAAGTATCTCTGATATTCATTTATTTTCCGAAGTTTTTCTTTTTACCAACCAATATTTAATACAATGTTTGAAATGTCGTTAACTAAGGTGGGAATATTGTGTTTAACATTTTCAGTTTTGTGTACACAATGTCATGCTTATGGTAAGTGTTTTATGCACAATCTTAATCGATGATCCTGGATCATATAGTTTATACTCTATCCCTCTGGTTTTTTTCTGTTCGCCAAAAAAACTTTAACTTTCCAATAGTTTTTGATTGGTTGAAGCTAGGGATTTGATATTTCACGTTGGCAGAATCTTCTCTACAGCCAATGGAATTGTTTCAAAATTAATTGAACATTGATATAGATTCAGAGAGAACACACGTTTCAGCTGTAAATTATATTTGTCCCCGCTTGAAAAGTGGGGGATATTAATTTTGGTTCGTCCGTCCGTCCGTCTGTCCGTCCGTCTGTCATTCTGTCTGTCTGTAACGCTTTCATTTCCACACGATATCTCAAGAACCCTTTGAGCTTTCGCAATGAAATTTTGCATATCAACACCCTATGGACAAAAGAGGAACCCTATTGATTTTTAGGTCAAATGGTCGAAGCTCAAGGTCAAAAATTCAAAAATTCTGTCTGTTATAACACTTTCGTTTCCGTGCAATATCTCGAGAACCCTTGAAGCTTTTGCAATGAAATTTTACAAAACAACTCCCTGTGACCTGACAAAGCCCCCTATTGATTTTGAGGTCAAAAGATCAAAGTTCAAGCTCGTAAATTGATACATGATATCTGTTTGAAACACTATCCTTTCCGAACGATATTTCAAGAAGATTTTGAGTTTTTGTAATGTAATTGTATACCAAAACTCCCTAGGACATCTCTTACTCCTCTCAAGGTGTCCCGTTTGTTTTATTAGTATTTATTTCATTACATGTCGCTATTTTTTAAGCATGGGGAGAGTTATTACGTATAAAACAGGTTCTCGGTGGACTTTATATTCTAATTACATCTATTAGAACTGTTTAATAAAGGTTAAATTAGACACCATGCATTAATTGTGTAAAATTTTGACAATATCGAATATGAAAATATACATGTATGTGACTTCTTCTTTGCATATAATTTCTATCGGTTTAAAGCAGTTCCGTGGTCTAGTGGTATGTCTCTCGCTTCATACGTGAGAGCGCTCGGGTTCTCATCTCGGACGATCCAATTTTTCTTTTTTTCGAAATATTATCTTTTTATTAAATGATAGTATTCAGCATCTGAAATGAAAAATATATGAGGTCTGGCTTGTACAAACTCATACAATCATCATTACAGTTGTGATAAATATCCCATATAAGAAGAATCTTCTATTATACACATAATAAAGTATAAGCAATCAAATTTTTATAAATTATCCATATTGGCATATTTTATTTTCTTCTGTATACATGTACACATTTAATAATTCTACAAATTCAGTCAAGGGGATCCGACCCCCCCCCCCCCTCCCCCGAACTGCGCATGGTTTACTTTTTCCTTAAGCGGGGGCACAAATTCTCTGAATTAGCTTGTTCTTTTCTGTATTGTTTTAATTTCAGCATGCAACAAATGAGTCTTTTTACAGCACTGATCAATGCACAGTAGATCTACTGTTCCTGAAACGTTTTATCATCCTTATTTGGCCATGCATGTGGTTTTTCAGTTTCCTTCCGTGCATCGTTCATTTTTGTACTTTCAAGTAAACTTTTAATCCCTACACGGAAATCGAGCTTTATAAAATTCAGAAAATTATGCAAGTATATTCTATCTTGTAACACTGCTTTAACCTAAACTCATTGTAAAATGAAGCAATTTATTAATATAAGGCAATGAAACGGCCTGTCTATTTCATTTCTTTTTTTTTTGTTTCATTTTTTTGTTGTTTAATTAGATCGAATATTATGCATATGATTAATTATTCAAATTGTAACATTTTTTCCTCCTTATAGTTAGTATCGTACATTTATCGATGTAGTAATGATGTTTTCTTTTACATTTGGTATTAACATTACGCTCCTATCACATTATATTTAAAAGAAAAATTGTTAAGGGATCAAGGAAAATGAAGGGAAATAATAATAAAAGAATCGCATTAAAGGATGCAGAGTTACTCTAATCTACAATCTACGCCTCATTTAGAAAAAAAACTTAGCAAACAGGTTTTAGTCAAAAAACACGATACAATATCAAATGTTTGTAGAATTTGCAAAATCGGAAGGACTTCTTCAAGGGATCGGTTAAATTAATCCTTGATCTCAATATCTTATACAGCCTGGTTCCATGTCTCTGTCTTGCTTCGTAAACTTCGCTTTACCTGGGCCAGGTGGAGTACAGTAAAATGGATTCAGAGCGAATCTGCCCTAAATCTAAGCTCATTTTGACGTGGAATATGGCTGCACTTCCGTTGAAGACGTTCACTGTGACGTATTTTTCTACGTCGTCGACGTAATGTTTGATTGTTACATCGATATTTATTTCCATAATTAACGGTAATAACTGAAAAACCCACGATTTAACGTGCATTGTTCTAACGAATCAAAGGAAAACATGGAATGTAATCCACCTGACTCTCTTGCCTTGGCAAGAATGAGACAGCGGACCAGGCTATATCTTATACTGATATGGAAATCCACGGTTAAACAAGTTATGATCAAGGTAAGGGTTGTGCAACCGTGAAATAACTGGCATGGAATATATATTATTAAGAATATCATTATACTCTTAAGTTTGATTTATAGACAAACTAATGTTAATACAGAAACATACATTTCAGTGAATCTGGCTTTGAATAAACCAACATGGCAAGCAAATCAGTATAAAGTAGGAAACCAATTATTCCACTCCAGTAACGCCGTCGATGGATTGAAATCGAATCTCGAAGGGAGGGGAGGTCAATGTGCTTTATCAGTTGGACAAAACGGCCCTTCCACCTTTTGGGTGAACCTAGCATCAGTCTTTAGCATTCATGACATAAGGATTTATCTCAGAAACGATAATAACAAGTTAGGTACTGTCATGGATTGCAATTATGAATTAAGGAAAACTTTCATTAAAAAATATGATTTAAAATGAATGGTATCTTATTTAGAAATAAAATGAACTATGTTATCACACACAAGGAAAAATAATTCAAAGTATAATTATGTTTTTAAAAACAAAGTTTGGCCGACATTTCCATATATATCCTTTTCCTGCATTGCCTCTTGATTACACAAAACAGTTAAAATACTAGCTGAATATGAGAAGTTTTCATTTATTTTTCAAAAAGGTAAAAAAAAAAGAATGAAAAAAAATGCTTTGTGAAATGTACATTTTCCAATTGCAGATACGCCTGATCAGTTTATGAAAAGAAATTTAGGATTTTATGTTTATGTATCAAATACAACCAACCATTTAGACGGTTACCTTTGCTTCCATGATACAAAATATACCAAATCTACGATACCGACCATTGTTGATATATCTTGTCCAATCCATGGGCAGTACGTCATCTACTATAATGAGAGACTTCCAGGAGTTAAATATCCTGAGGATTATTCCAGTACAGCTTTCACTGACCTTTGTAAGATGGAGGTTTATGGTAAACTTTATACCGCGCTTCAAAACAGAAAAAAAAGTTATTAAATTTAAAATGTTTTAGCATCCCAAGACAGCAGTGATGTTGTTTTTTTTCTGATCATAAAAAATATTTTTGTTTTGGTAGCATTTCAGAATTTCTTATCTTACATTTTATTATCAACACAATATATACCATTTTTTATATATATTTCCAGGTTGCAAGACGGGATATTATGGATTTAATTGTTCTCTCTCTTGTCCTTACAATTGCAGACATTGTCATATAGAGTCTGGAGTATGTCTGCATAATATATACGGATATCAGGGACCTCAGAGAGTATTAAGTAAGAAAGAATATTAATTTCAGTATGACATGACACCCTGTGCTTGATCCATGATAACAAGTTCTATATATGTATACAATTATATATATCAAACCAAATATATACAAATATACGAGATCAAATTTAGAAACATTTTTTTATAATTATTATCGTTCACACTCCTAAAGCCTTCCTCACCCATCTCTTGTGTTTAACGGTCCACGCCCTACGGGTACCCATTTGTGCTTGTCACAACGTCCTTGATATGATGTTCATCACTAATCAAAGCGACTTAAGCGTCTGCAGTGCTGACTAGATACAGAAAACCGAGTATCTCAACAAGGCCACGGCCTAGTGTACCCTCTCTTTGTGTAGTCGCCCAGGGTGTAACCGTCGACAGCGCCAATCAATCGTATAACCAAACAGTATGTCGTAGACATAAAATTTTTCAGCTTGACACCAAATGCGCTGAATTGCTCAATTAAATATAATTGCTTTCTAATTTAAATTTATGAAAACAATTAAACTTGTATGAATTAAACTGTTTCGGACGGCAAAGCAAAATAAAGTACAATCTGAATAATTTATGAAATGTAAACGTGGTGACGATATTCAAAATTCTACCTATCTGCAACGATCGTTCTTAAATCATTTAACTATTTGTTTCTTTAAATCCATAATAAAGCATGAGTGAAAAGATAATTGTTGTAAAACTAACTTATTTTTTCATGTATAAAAACAATATTTTTTATTTAAGTATTAGATTAAATAGATATTGCATCAAACTTCAAAACCAGATTAAATCTGAGTAATGTATATGCAGCACAGTTACATGTAAGGTTACAATAAGGAGGCAGGATATAATGTATACGAGAAGTATTTACTACGACGTCAAACATAATATAAGTTATTCAAAGTACTATAAAATGAAATTCTTTGTTATTTCAAACGGCTGGATTGCAGTAGACTACTTAAACACTTATAATTACATGTACACCCAATGTTGTTGTTTGTAAAATCCAACACAATAATATATATACGATTCATCGATCGCAATGCGCTTGTCAATGTGACGTCATCTCTCAAAAAAATCGCTATTTATACACAGTGGGACGCTGATCAAGTCACATTTTGTAAAAAAAAAAAATGTCTTTTGCTCTCAAATGAAATATGATTTGCAGTTATATAAAAGACCATTAACTTGGATGCATTGTCTATTTTACTATCTTGTTTATACAATGACTATACATTCTCAAGACTAGTTATACTGTCGTGTTTTTGTATGCAGATTTCTTAAAAAAGCAATAGAAAGTCCCTGCTACATCGATTTATTGCAAAGGCATATATACTCTCGATGTATCTTGTCAAGTTTTTCCACATAAAAACTAAAGAAGCATTAAGATATTTAAACAATGCTGCAAACCTCATGAAAGATTGCTAATAAATTAATTATTGATATATTTAGTCTTAATTCATCTTGGGTTTCAACAATTACAAAAGAAATAAGGAACAAGATCGAGGAATCACGCAGTAATGTTAAAGCTCCCCGGGATTTAAATGCATTTAAAACGCAAAACTACATTACAAAGTTGTTTTTGAGTTTTATTTTAATATACTAAAGTACATGTATTCATATTCACATTCACATAGAGAGTTCTAAAAGTAATATATAACATATTTATTACGATATCACATAACCTCTTTGATTACATGACGATCACTTCTCTTTTTAAAGTGTTTCACAAAAAATGCGTCGGCGTAGGTAATAAACACAACTATTATCGAATTTTTATCACGTAAATAAACTTGCTGCATCCCTGTAAGCTCGAAATGTGCTCGAAAAGAAATATGCTATGACTCTGGTAAAAAATATTTCACACAAAATTCAGCTTACCGACAAATCCACTTAAGGACAGACGAGACATTACTTAATAATAGATAATTTTTTCTAAGAGTTTGTAATTGAAGTGTTGCTACTTACATGTAACAAGTTTACTCACACAAAATTGCGAAATCACAGATCGGGGAAATTTTATCTCTCTTATATTTACCAAATAAATATTTGGCGAAAATAAGGCATCGCAAAAAAACTGTTATTTACAGTATGGGTCAGTTGTTATGATAAAACATTCTTGTTTAATTTCCTCCTGTTATATTTTAGACTGCAGCAATGAATACTTTGTGCCAAACTCTTCTCTTCCCTGTCCTTGAACAAGTTAGCGCATATCTAAATTAGCACAATTTTTAATGTTCTTATTTAGGAGTATATGTGCAAGACATTTGGCGTTGTACTTGAATTAGCGAAAGCTTCTTTCCGCCCAAGGTGCTAAAAAGAATACACAGCCAAATAATTTAATTTTGGTTGTAACGCGTCATTTGATTGGATATAAAAAAAATTAAATTGTATAATCTGGTTTGCTTACATGTACATCACAATGACTTACGTAAAAGTCGTTTCAATCCGCTAGACCTTCCGTTTAAAATATGAACACTTTGAGGGCGTTTAATAGAGAGAATTTGTCTTGTTTCATATTCCTAATGATTGAAAATTTATCATTAATTTTCACGAAGTGGTTTAAAAAAAGCGTAAACTCCTCCACCCAAGTTATAGCAGTATGATTTGGGTTGCTATTTAATTCATTCCTTAAATATAATACGTTTACAGTATATTGCTCTTCCTTACACTTCATAATAAACATGTTAAGTGTATTTGGATTTAACATCAGCTTTAAAGTGTTTCACAAAAAATGCGTCGGCGTAGGTAATAAACACAACTATTATCGAAATTTTATCACGTAAATAAACTTACTGCATCCCTGTAAGCTCGAAATGTGCTTGAAAAGAAATATGCTATGACTCTGGTAAAAATATTTCACACAAAATTCAGCTTACCGACAAATCCACTTAAGGACAGACGAGACGTCACTTAATAATAGATATTTTTTTCTAAGAGTTTGTAATTGAAGTGTTGCTACTTACATGTAACATGTTTACTCACACAAAATTGCGAAATCACAGATCGGGGAAATTTTATCTCTCTAATATTTACCAAATAAATATTTGGCGAAAATAAGGCATCGCAAAACAAAAAAAAAACAAAACAAAAAAACAACTGTTATTTACAGTATGGGTCAGTTGTTATGATAAAACATTCTTGTTTAATTTCCTCCTGTTATATTTTAGACTGCAGTAATGAATACTTGGTGCCAAACTCTTTTCTTCCCTGTCCTGATAACTGCTGTTGCTGTCAGAGAGAAAAAGGAGAATGTCATTTGTGTGAAAACGAAAATGAGGGCCCTCAGTGTGAATTAGGTAACTAAACTTTTTTGCAACTGAGTAGGAGTATATTTATTTTTAATATGCTATTTTCTTTTATGGAAGAATGATATCAAACTCACAATCCCCACTACTGTAAGAATGTTCCATTTACATGAATACTGTAAATGTATTATATTTGACGTGTACGATATTTGGCGGGAACTGACTTTTGAACAAGTTAGCGTATATCTAAATTAGCACAATTTTAATGTTGTTATTTAGGAGTATATGTGCAAGACATTTGGCGTTGTACTTGAATTAGCGAAAGCTTCTTTCCGCCCAAGGTGCTAAAAAGAATACACAGCCAAATAATTTAATTTTGGTTGTAACGCGTCATTTGATTGGATAAAAAAAAATTAAATTGTATAATCTGGTTTGCTTACGTCACAATGACTTACGTCAAAGTCGTATCAATTCGCTAGACCTTCCGTTTAAAATATGAACAATTTGAAGGCGTTTAATAGAGAGAATTTGTCTTGTTTCATATTCCTAATGATTGAAAATTTATCATTAATTTTCACGAAGTGGTTTAAAAAAAGCGTAAACTCCTCCACCCAGGTTATAGCAGTATAATTTGGGTTGCTATTTAATTCATTCCTTAAATATAATACGTTTACAGTATGTTGCTCTTCCTTACACTTCATAATAAACATGTTAAGTGTATTTGGATTTAACATCATATCAATGATAGAAATAAATGTCATATTATCAGATAATATATATCTGGCAGATACAGTGTACAGGGCTTGACGAATATGTTTTAATGGTATAAAGCAGTAGCTGTTCCAATTCCTTTAAGATCGTTATTAAGAAATAAGGTATCATTTTTTGAGTTTTATTGCGATGTAAAACGGGTTGGTCACGTGATCAAATCCCATACTTTATGGAAGATTTGATCATGTGCCAACCCGTTTTACATCCCAATAAAACTCAAAAAATGATACCTTATTACTTATATTTACATTTGTGACTTATTCATATGTTAAATTTGCCTGATTGTGACTTTAAAAGTGTGAAATGCATTTTTTTCAAACCCAACGGCATGTATGTAATCCACTGAACGCGCGTCGACCCTTTATGACGTCACCGAGAAATTACGTCGAACGTTTATCCATACGCACAACTATGACCTTTTGACCCCGTACTTGTATTTATACAGTTATAAAACGATTGCTTTCAGTAGTGTTATATAAAGGAAAACATTTGCAAATGTAAATATATAAATATAAACCTAACATTACTTAAGCTCAAACGTTTCTTATCATGTAAGCTTGGGTTTCCACTTGCCTCAACAGGTCGACACAGCAAATAAGATTAAAATGTATCTGTTTTTTAACTATCAGACGTCAAAAAAAGAAACAACTAATAGGTACCAATGTTTCAGTGAGGTTATGGTGCCAATTGTACAAATAGTCCGAAGGACATCATCATAATCATGGGTATTACGATTGAAAAAAAATATCCCGTGGCATTTCGTTTTTTTTTTATTGTGGAAATTTACTATGAATATTGAATCACATTTTCATGTTATCGAGCATCATGATTTAATATTTTAATTAAATAAATGATGTTATTAGTTTCCTACCGGTGTAACCGTGGGGGAGTAAAGTTTTCCTCTCAGTCAGTCTGTCATTGAGTTTTTGATGAAATATTGGCAATTTTCTTTTATAATTGTCTTTACTATCGGGTTCGTGATTCACTAAATTAAAATTCAAACGAGCTTCTGTCCTAAAGAGGATAGGGAAAAACGGTAGGAAATGTATTGCTTATAAAAATTGCTCTCAGAATACTTGTTTGATTACATTTTAAAATACTGCTGAATCAGATTCAATCATTTACATTTTGATTGTAAAGTGCATTTATTCACCAAAAACAATATCAAAACATTGCTGTTTATATTTTGCCTTTTAAAAGCAGGTTTTACGATTTTACCTTGTAGATAACGCACACGATGAACCAGATTGGCAGTTCAGATTTTATGTTGTAGTTGGAACTTTCTTGGGTTCGGTTACATTGAACACTTTCTTACTGGCTTTACTCTGCCTAAAGCGGTAGGTAAAATGAACAGTGATCTTTCAACCAATTTAGTATATGTATGGTTACGTCAATGTAATGGAGTAAATTGAAGATTTTCTTGGAGTTTGAAATATATTTGTCGATAAAATATTTTTTTATTATTTTCAAGAAATAGAAGAAAGAAAATGAATGTACACAAAATGATAACAGAAGTGCCTAACCCACTACTTAATGAAGCCAATGTCATTTACGATAATCCTGACGGATACGTAGTTGGTGATTATCAGGAGCTTGAAGCTCTAAGGGTCTCCTCTTTGTATGACTCACTCCAACAGCAGAGGGATGAAGGACCTGATTTAAGAAATGAAAAATAAATGGGATGTGTTGTGCAACTGTTCTGTAAAACGTATTTTGATTGAAAAAATGGACTGATGTTTGTGGAAGTGAAACAGATTCAAACGAGCGAAAACTTTTGATTGTGATGATATAAAAGAAAGACGCAAAAAAATCCTTAATGACTTTTCTTTACTACTATATTTGAATAATGGACTCGAATATTTGGTATTTAATATCAATGAATCGAAAGAGTGTTGTATTTTGTTATATATATTTTGAACATCATTGGTACATGTAGCTTGAAGTTGATCAATTTGATTTAATTAATGTAGATTCCTTTTTAAAAAAAATCCAAAACAACAACCTTTTTAGGGGAAGCGGGCGATTCTACAATCTTGAGCCTTTGAATTACAATCAGAGTGATAAAAATGGGTAGCAATATCATGGCGAGATCGGAAGTATATGACTATTATTTGTATATCCACCAGACCCGATTTTTTTCTCATGTTCAGTCGTATGGCACATTAATATATCGTCAAAAGTCCATTTCTTTCAGGCAATCACAATTCATTTAACAAAGATATCATCTTCCAATGGGCAGTGCAAATGTACACAACTGAAAACATTGTTGATAAAGAAGTTTTAAGATGAAAATATGTTACAATTTTCATTTTATTAACCTTTTCAACGTTTCCTTATTCAAGGGTATAAATTACATTATTAATTTTCAAAACATTCAATAGAGCATTTCCTTAATTATACCATCTATAAAGTGTTTGATATTCCTAATTTTAGTCATAATTTCTTGAATAACCAGTCTTGTTCTGTAACTGAGTGTGCGAAAATGCAAGCTTAGCAATCTATTTATTTCATTACTTTGCATATGTCTTAGCAGTGTTTATCTCTTTGTTATTGTCATTTTTTCAATAAACATCCATAATTTCTTTCATCAAAATTGTTTGTTAAATTGATGCCTGTGATTTAGATCTAACTGGAAGGGGACTCAATCTCATTCTGCGATACGCCGTTACGCAATATATTTTCATTCACTGTCTTATTTATTTCTAAAGTACCTTACAATATGAATGTGTCGATTTATCTATGTCGTAAATGCCCGATATACACGCGGATGCATTTATAACAATGTCAACGAATGTATGCACGGGTCAATGTCTAGTTTTATACAAAACGGAGCTGATCCATCGCCGGTGAACATAAGTTTTGTGACCGCTTAATGAACATTAATGTCCACACACAAAAAATGAGAACAGTTATTTCCTCTTCAATATTACCGTTGTGGTATGCACAGTCGGCAGTGCACTTGCACCGTAATCGGAATGTAGTGAATTCGAATCTCGACTGCGACTGACCTAATTTGATGAAGAAAAATTGCAAGCATTTGTTACTTCGCCTCTCGATTAGTGAAAATTGGAAGTCTTTGGATGAATACTATAAAACCAAGCCTCCGGGTTGCGATAGGCGTTGGTACGATAAAGATCCCTCACATATATGACCCCGAGTACAGTGTAAAGATTAAAATTTAAAGTCTTTCGGTGGTATATAGTGACTTCTCAAAACGAGTAAAACCTTCTCGGATGGGAAGTTAAATGATATACAAAAATTAAATCCTTTTAAAAATTTCAATTTTTCAAGGCTGAGTCTAACTATTTCTATCTAAGAAACCTGATATTCTTTCTTTCTTGTTCTTTAGTTTTATTTTAATTATTTCACAATAGAATAATTAAATGCTTGCAATCTTATCTTGATATCTTAAAGGGTGATCTTTTTTATGTCACATAACATATTTAAACACTTGAAATAAAAGTTTGGATCCTATGAGTGGTAATTATGTTTAACATTTGGATAATGATACATTCTTATTTTAAATAATTAACTTTAAAAGACTAGCCATGGGTACCAATGCGACAAATTGTTATAAAGAAAGAGCAAATAAACAAAATAATCGTCAAAATTTACAGAGCATAATACTGAATACAAGGTTATCCCTCATGTTATTTTCGCCCTTTTGACACTTGCAAACAGTTTCATCCCGTTTATAATTCATCCAGTCATAGTTTGTTTAAGATATTTTACTGTATGCTTTGAATTCGCCTCATTTTAAATACACCCTCTCGTGTCAAGGGCGAAAAGGCAGAAAATAAAACCAGGGACAAAAATGTCCGTTTATACGGTATATTATATTATACTTTTTTAAAGGTCACAGTAGAAAGCAAAAGAAATCTCACATTACTACATAATTTGAATAAGGTTAGATAATTTTGACTAATACTGTTATAAATTTAGACTTTACAGAAAAACATAGCCCCCAAACACTTCCTGAATATATTGCCCTTGAAATATTAACATACAATGTACAAATTCTTTGCAATAAATTCAACAATTATTTGTATGATGGTTTAATTGATTG